GTGCACCAAACGTGTAATATCAGCCCGAATAGTATGGAATTTTGCACATACAACCAAATTAGGCCTGAAAATAAGTATGCCAAATTTGATCGAAATCGGTTCAGATATAACCATAGCTCCCATATATATTGTTCATCCGACTAGATATTTTTGTCCTCCGCAGCCCTAATATGCACTCTGTAACAACAATATTTGGGGAAATATATCAAATACAGCTTAGAAATACCTTTGCGAAATTTCATCGAGATCGGTTCAGATTTGGATATAGCTCCCATATATAACTTCGTCCGATTTACATTTTATTGTGCACCAAACGTCTAATATTTGCCCAAATGGGATGGAATTTGGCACATACAACAGAATTGAGTCTAGAAGATAGTATGCCAAATTTGGTGAAGATCGGTTCAGATATAGCTATAGCTCCCATATATATTGTTCATCCGATGTGTTATTTTGTCCTCCGCAGCCATAATATGCACTCCGTAACAACGATATTCAGGGAAATATATCAAATACAGCTCAGAAATATCTTTGCCAAATTTTATCGAGATCGGTTCAGATTTGGATATAGCTCCCACACATATATTTATCTGATTTCAAATTAGTTTTGCACCAAATGGCCCATACAAGTCCGAATTTAAAAGATACAAATGCTTCGGCATATTTAGTCCTTTGAATTTTAAATTAAAATAATAATAATCATAGCGTGTATGATTGAATTCTCTTATAAACACTTTTAATTGTTATGTGGAGCTCTACTAAACTAGCAAAGTAGGGTATGTAGGGTATCATAAAGTCGGCCCGCCCGACTTTAGGACTTTCTTTACTGGTTCCTTATAAAAAAACTTTTGAAATTTTCTTTCAAAATCGAAAAAGCTTAGAGTTATTTTTTTTTTAAACAAAAGATTTTAAAAGAGCAATTCTATAAATGATATTATATTGATTTTCTGATGAGAACAGAAGACCTTTGCGACTTTGGACTTTATTTGTCTTCTGGGAAGTCTTCTATGGGAAGCTTAACTTTGTGAATCCTTTTCTAACTTGAAGAAATAAAATCATATCAGTAACATTTTCTTTAAATGATTTGATATATCGAACATATTTTCTCCACATAATTACCCACTAAAAAACTAAAATACCCCTTCAATATACTAATAATTCAATAAAGAAGAAGACACTCGAAAGTTTCCATTTTCATAAATGATGTGTTTTTAATTGCATTTCCACGGAATTGATACAAATAAATTAACCCTTTTTTTCTCTCTACTCTAAACAAAAGTATTAATTATTTAATTTAACCCCTCCTTTGGAATTTCAACATAAAACATAAATGGGTCCGTTGAAAAACTTTTGGGGGAAGGAAACTTAGCAACAACGACAACAATTCATGGGGCTCAATTACATTTTAATTGTTTTGTGGTATCATTATGACCCAATATTAGAAAGGACAAAAGCTGGCGTGTGAAAACGTTTAGCAGAACGATTCAAATAGACAAAAAGGATTTTGAATGACATGCATGCAAAACAATTACTTTAAAGTTTTTGTTTTTTTGTTTGATATGACCATTTGACCCTTTCCGAAGAGGATTAAGTGATGGGGGTCAGATCCTTTTTTTCGGTGTTTTTAAAAGTTTTATTTTTCTCCAAATTAGTTTGGAAATTTTTTTTGGAAAAAGTTTATTTTTCCATTTGTTGAACTGATATAAAATATTCATGCCACATTCATATGAACTGGGTGAATTTTTTACTGTCCCATTGGACATTCTAAATAAATTGTTAAAAGCTAATTAGTTGTTTTTTTTTTTTCTTGTTTGTTTAAATTTAAAATGTCATTATAAATTCATGGGAAAAAAAGCAAACATAATAATGTACAGGGTGTCCTCCAAATAAAGTGGCAAAATTTGTTGAAAAAAAAGTCAATTTGAAGCAAAAAATAAATATGTCATATGTGGGTGTCCTAGAGGTCATATTATAATTAAACATTTCAGTTACTAATATTCAGAGTTTTCATCGGATTTTTAGAACATTACGAACTAAAACTGGGTACTAAAGAGCAATTAAATTTAATAAGACTCGCCATAGGCCAGCATAGTCCCAAAAAAATATTCAACTGTGGTAAAAAAACTATCTTAAAATTAACAAAAAATAAAAATTAAATATTGCCGACACCTCGCGGCTACTTTAAGGCTAAAAAGATAATTAATATTTTCAAATATAATGTTCATTGCAAAGTAATCTAAAAATTGTAATCATACACATTTTTTTTTTTAATTTTCAAATTAGGATTGCTTTAAATCCTTACATTTTAGATATGATGTATTCGGCAATGGTACTGTTAACAGTACGAGTATTTCACCCTCAAGCGAGTCCCCAATGGGATCTTTTTGGTCCTTTTCTCAACAGGTTAAAAAACTCTTTTTAAACTAGATAGCAGCAATTTAAATATTCTACAAGATCTCAGCATACATCAAAACTCTAAGTCTTATTCAAACCCCAGGAATTCATAAATATTAAAAAAATAGTTGTAAGTCTTACTTCATACAAGTCAACAAAGTGGTCTTTTTTGGAAAATGTGGTTAAAATATTTCTTATTATTATTATTATTATTAATTTTTTTTTTTTTTTTTTTTTTTTTTGTCAATATTTCCTGACCAGTGGCATTGGCCCAATATTTACGTACTTCGTCGTGTTGTTAGGTATTCAAAAAAATTTCAAACTAAAGTTGTGGTCCATGCTAAATTTCGCGAGCATCGCACGATAATTTCGATCTGTGTATAATACCCTCAACACATAGCGCGGGATGTAGAAAAACTTTAAAAAAGTACAAGTCAAAATTATACAAGAAAAAATCGCATGCGATAAAAAATATGACAAAAATTAAAAAAAAAATAAAACAAAATATTCACTTTTTAAGTGTTATACTTTTATGAGATTTTCATAGATTTTATCCTTTTCTGGCAAGAAATCATTCCGAAAAGAAGAAAATTCTGAAAATCAGTTCAGTGGTTCTTGACTCATAAGCAGAATAACTATGATATATTTCTTTTACATATATATTGTACCATATCTTGGCTATCGGCATCACTGTAATGGTCAGAAGTGACCTTTTAATGTATTTGTGATTTGGGCGGGAGTAAAAATATTCGCGGTTTAGTGGAAATTTTCGTATTTTTTGACATAAAACTTTTTTTTACCACATAAATATATCTCTAACTCCATGTAAAATTCCGCCTCGATTGTTTTTTAATTATGGGCTGTAGAGCAACAGCCAAATCAGGAAATTTTTCAGTTTTTGATCCATTTGAACCTCTAAAAATTTTGCGATCATCTCCAAAAACAGTAGACTTCTATTCTAACCCTAACCCCATTTAGACTTTCGTGAAGATCGGGCCATAATTGCGACCTGTAGCGTGATTACATATTAAAATGGACAGTCCGACGGACATAGCTAGATCTACTTAGCTCGTTGAAATAGGACCAGTAGTCTTCTGCCACAGAAGACAGAATCCATTACAAACTCAACATACCGAATTCGAAACGATTTCCCTAAAAATGTGGCTAAAATCATCTGAATACCAAATATTGGGAATATCGATACATGGGAGTTATGGCAAACTGTGAACCCATGAAATTTAAGTACCGAATTTTTAACAATTCTGTTAGAAAAAGTGTCGCAAATTGTCAAAATACCGAATATCGGGAGGTACAGTTATATGGATTTTATATGAAAACGTAGAACGAAATGTTCCTACTGACAAAAAACTCATGTGTGCAAATAGTAGTCTTTTACCTCAATTCGTAGCAGTGCCCATTACGAACTTCGAATATGAATTTTGAAATAATTCTGGTGAATAATGTCGCTGAAATAATGAAAATTCAGAATATGGGGAGGTACATTTATGTGGAGTTGAACGAAGACGTGGACCTGCAAACGATTTTTTTTTGTCAAAGGCTTTAGATTCCCTTACAAACTATAAATATAAAATTTGAAACAATTCTAGTCTACATATAATGTCACTTAAATCATCAAAATACCGAATATTTAGTGGTACCGTTACATGACCGAATTTTAGCTTTCTATCTCAATTCTTTCGAAAAATAACGTGAAAACAGATCTGAGCCGATCTCGATAAAATTTGGAAAAGGTATTTCTGCTCTGCATTTCATATATTTCCCCAAATATCGTTGTTACAGAGTGCATATTACGGCTGCGGAGGACAAAAATATATAGTCGGATGAACAATATATATATATATGGGAGCTATAGCTATATCTAAACCGATCTCGATAACATTTGGCACACTTATTTCCAGGCTTAATTTGGTCGCATATGAAAAATTCCATACTATTCGGGCTGATATTTCACGTTTGGTGCACAATAAAAGGCAAGTGGGACGAAAATATATATGGGAGCTATATCTAAATTTTGACCGATTATCTCATCAGGCAATAAATGCGACATGTACTTTACAAAAATACGTGGACAGGTGGACGGACATACATATATCGAATCAGAATACAGATCTATCTGAATACAGATCTATCTCGTTTCTTTTTGCCAATTACAAACAAATGCACAAAGACATAATAAAATTAGGAACCATGTTCGCAACCCTGATATAAACCTATATTTAATATTTTAGATCGACCAGTAATTTTTAATCCCGTGTTAATAATTTGGCATTGCCCTCTAGCGGAATTGCTAAAATTAAGTACACATTTTATGACGAGAGTTATAGAAATAATCTGATATCATTTAGCTTTTCCTCTTTTTTGTCAAAGAAAATATGGCTTCAAATTGGTATTAAAAACTAATATGATTTTTTTCAATTTTTTTCTTTTGTGAAAAAGTTTTGCAAAGAATTTGAATTTCTTGCTATGACATTTTATTCCCCTCAATTTTATTCCTTGTTTATTTGCCGTCAATTTTTTATTTTATCACCCTGTAGTCGTTTTTTTTCCGGGAACAACTGTTTAAAAATTAATTTATAACAACTTACTTTTTTATTGTTAAACACCACTCATTCAGCTACAATTTTTGTTTGATGTCCAATGGCTGAACTTCTTTTTCTGTTTTGAGTATGGGGCAGGATAATAATAATATATAGATTCCGTGTGTGGTCAAGTTGGATATGTATTTGTTGTTTTTACGTTTTAATTTATTTTAATTTCTATTGAAAACACTAACACTTACTATCAACAATATAATATTTTTCATACAAGAATATGTTGATACTATTAATGGAGATATGTCGTTCTTTAATTTTAAATATTATTTATATTTTTATTCAATAATTTTTGAATATTTTTCTAATCATTTTTTCCGTTGCTTAGATTCTAATTTAATTGCAGAGAAAATCTTATTGGATTTTGTTAAATCTTATAAATTCATCACTTCATTGATTTTGTTTTTTAATTTCACGTATTGTACGTGGTATGGCGCGTGACTGATTTTACACGACCTATAGGATGGCGATGATGATGATGCTACCGGCAATTCAACTTTTGTTAGACGAGCAACGGAGCAGGAGTATGTGATGGCACACTTTCGGGAAGAAAAAAAAATGAAACGAAAATAAGAAGACGTTTTAGGGGTAACCGTATTTTTCGCTATTAAGATTATTATACTGGAAATAATGTTGTTGGTATTCTGGAGTAGGTTCCCTGGTTTGTTGTTATTGTTGTCATTTTTGGTTGCCAGCTAATGATGATGTCGCTGATGACACTGTTGATGACACAATGACGCGTGCTATGCGTACCAACAACGTGCCAAGAATTTTTATTTTTAAAACGCGTCAATGTTTACACAAATAAATTAGAATCGAAAAACCCGAAATGAGCACTTCATTGCGATGGCAGAGGGCAAATACCTTTTAGTTGCAATTTTTGCCTTAAATACTTTTTTGCGTGTGAATTGAATTTTCGCAAGTTTCTCGCCACAGATAATTCGTCTTTTTTTAATTTTAATAATTTTTTTCTCCAACGAACTTCATTAAAATTTAGGTTAAAGGAATTTCTTAATTCCTTGGAGGTTAAAGGGATTTAATTTATTTTTGATTCATTTTGTAACACTTCAATTTAAATTTTAACATTTCTAAATAATTTCCATAAATTTATTGCACTTTAATTTTCTTCATTAATTTTATTATTTATTTATTTTTTTATTCTTCTTATTGCACACCGTTTTTCATGGTTGGGTTTTTGTGTGGGACAGAAAAAAACGTTGCGTACCCCTGCTTAACGACGTAACGTTACGTTCAGATACGAATACAAAACTGAGCATTGGCCAAGTGCGAAAATTTTATCGTCGCACATCAATAACAAAACACACGACGACGAGCATGGTCCTTTTTCCCAACAGCATGGCATTGTATGTGTGTGTGTTTTTTTTTTTTGTTGGTTGGCTGATTGCGCCAGGAAAGGGAGCAAGGTAACCAGAGCATTCGCTCTCCCAGCTAAATGCTAAATATTCTAAAACATCATAATAAATTACACAAAATCGAAAGAGCGAGAGAGAGAGCACAAATGAGAGCGAGAGCGTAAAAATCCAATACGATATCTTTACCATAAACGCGGTAGGAAACCAACAAGAATAAATCTCCTAAAAGAGAAATATCCCTTGGCAAAACTCCCCTTCGAAAATATGAGCACAACTTAATTGGAAACATTTAAATATCCTCTCTAAAATTCCTCTACAACACCACAGGCGCATGCACGCACACACAAACACGTGTGCTCTATTTGTCTCATCTGCTTAAGCTTAGAATTTATATAGCCTCTTTTACAAATATCCTTTTCAAAGCAATCAGGATATTTTTAACACACAACACCAGAGGTGAGAAGAAAATAAACAAACCTATCCCAACATTTTCAATGTAAAAGGGAAAATTAAACACACGGATAATGTAAATATGAATTATGAATTTTTGTCCCATTCGAACAAAAAGAACTCTTGGTAATCATAACAATACCAGTTCTTGTCTGTGTCTAAGAAAATATTAGAAGGAGTGCAAAAAAAACTCCCAAGGGAACTCTAATAGATTTTGTGAGAAAAAAGCAACTTAAACGCAAATAAATAACTTTTACAATTTATCTACCCAACCATTTTCAATCCCCCTACAAACTCTATTTTATTAATCTTCCAGCTCATTAAAAACATAACTCCACACAAAGTAAAATACAATATTTCGTCGGTTTTGTGCCAAATTTTAATATTCACCTCTCTAAAGATGTTGTTTTTTCCCTTCTTTTCTTCTTATTTTTCTAACATTTCACACACATTTCTCTCGTTCTCCGCATTCCTTGCGGTCTCTCTCTCGCGAATCCGTATTAGGTTACACATGTTCCCATTTTTGTGTTTGAATCCTGCGCATTTCATCCTTCCAATGGCCTTTATTTGACGTATAAGAGTTTCAAAATATCCCTTCATTACGTTCTCATTGAGTTGTAAATAAACTCCACTCTCTTATTGTAAAATCTCTTTATTCAGCCAAAATTTCCCTTAAAATAGTGGGAAATATAGAAATGGTGGTGTTTTTGAAAAGATACGATATTATCGTAACGCTGTTGTTGTACAATCAACCGCCAAAATCGAACTTGTTGCTGACATTAAATACGCATTTTTAAAATCGATTTTCAAATAAATCAAGATATTTGAAACAAAAATATCGCTTAAAAAAACAAGAGCCAAAGAAAATATTTAGGCACTAAAGGATATGAAAGTGAGTGTCCAATTACAAGAGATCGTACTCGTCTAATATAAATAAGTAAAAAAAGGAAGGAAAAATCAAAAGTCGAGCTGGGCCGACTATATGATTCCCTACACCACTTTGCCAAATTTAAGTATCATATTTAGTAGAGCTCCCGTAACAAAAGATTTTATTTCAAGTAGATCATCCCACCTATCAACATTTGGCTTTATAGCAGTTATAGTTTGCTATAGAGTGCATGATATCACTTGGTGAAGGATTATATTAAAAATATATTATCGGAACCGAGTTGCACAAAATGGAAACGTACGTCTCGAAATTCACTCAATTTGCGCTGATATTAGCCATTATTTGCACAATAAACATAAAATCGCTGATATTAGCCATTATTTGCACAATAAACATAAAATCGGATTAAGGATATATATGGGAGGGAGCTTAACACCAAATCGGTTGAAAAATATATATGGGAGCTATAGCTATATCTAAACTATTTTTTTACAAATTTGATGTACTTGCTTCTAGACTGAATTCGGTTGGATGTACCAAAATTCAGGACTTTTTGACGGATATTTGCCTTTTGGTGTACAATGAATCCAAAATCATAGAAGATATGTATGGGACCTATATTCAAATCTGAACCGATCGTAATAACATTTTGCAGATATATTTCAGGGCTATATGTGATATCTGGTACCCAATATCATTGTTGTCGAATGCATATTACGAATGTGAGGGACTTAAATATCAATTTGGATGAAACAGTATATGGGAGCCATAGGCATATCACCAAATTTAATATATTTTCTTCTAGACTGAATTCGGTCGGATGTACCAAAATTCAGGACTTTGTGACCATTTGATGCACAATTAACCCGAAATCTGAGCTATATCCAAATCTGATCCGATTATCACCAATTTCAATAAGGCTCGTCATTGGGCGAAACAAGTATTGTTTGCAAAATTTCATCTCAATCGGATAATAAATGTGACCTGCATTTTATTCACAAGAATACATGGACGACTGACATGCATAAATCGACTTAGAAAGCGATTCTATGAAGACTATCAAAAGTAACTATGGGTCTATCTCGCTACCTTCTCCATGTTACAAACAAATGCACAAAGAAATAATACACTTACCGCTATGTGGTGTAGGGTAAAAAATTAGTAAGTTTGACAGGTTTACAATTCTGTAAAAATCTTAAGAATGCAGAATATTGGGGTCCATACGAAAACGTGGATGTACATAGGCAATTTTTGTCATAGGCATTAGAGTATTCAAATACGAAACTTGAAACAATTAGGTTGAATAATTTCGCAAAAACATAAAAATACCGAATTTGTGGGGTCTATAACGAAATTTGAAAGAATATTACTTTTTGTATATAACACCGTGAAAGTCTGATGTACGATGTATGAGATTCTGATCAAAAAAATGTTTCAAAATGAACAAATTATGAGTACTATTGAATATTATGAGTACTAACAAGTAAAAAAGCTGTAAGTTCGGCTGGCCCGAACTTTGAATACCCTCCACCATTTTTAACGAATTTGGAAATTCTCAAAATCAATAAAATCCGTTCTAATTTCTGTTAAAATCTTAAAAGTACCGAATGTAGCTGTTAAATTAGGTTCTATACGACGACATGAACCTGCATAGTTAAAATTTGTAATAAGCCATTACAATATTCAAATACGAAACTTAAAAAGAGTCGGTTATAATGTCAATAAAAGCAAAATACCGAATATTGGGAGGTACCGTTATGTGGGGGCTCTACGAAGGCGTTGACCTGCACAGACAATTTTCTGTCTTAGGCTGTAGTATCCATTACGAACTTCAAATACCAAATTTGAAACGATTCCGGTGAATAAATTCTCTGAAATCATCAAAATACCGAATATCGGAAGGTACCGTTATATGGGGGTTATACGAAGATGTGGACCTGCATAGACAATTTTCTGTCTTAGGCTGTAGTTTTCATTACGAACTTCAAATATCAAATTTGAAAGAATTCTGATGAATATTGTCGCTAAAATCATCAAAATTTGAAATGGTAGCAGAAATCTTCAAAATACCGAAAACCTAGAGGTACCGTTATATGGGGGCTATACCTAAACGTTTTAAATAATAATTAGCCTGCATATAATATAACTCTTTGTGCCAAATTCCAAAGCACTATATTAAATAATGTAGACTATACCGTAATTTCAACCGACGGGCATCGCTCTAAAAAAATACGAGCATTACTCAGATAAAGATAAAATATTCTTAAAAATTCTACTATTACAGCATTTGAAACATTATAGTATTTGAAACAAATTTTTTTGAAAATTCGACGATCATGACTCAGACAATCTTCATAAATTATAACAATTCTAAGCCTTAAAAATGACCTAAGTCATACGATTATGGCTTCGAATAACTTTAAAAATATTCAATAATACGATTACAATTATATGCTCATAACCCAGACAACCCCTTAGATTTTTATTTAAAATCTATGATTTTCACTCATCACTAAATTAGGCACGAGAAATGACAAAATTGTATCTCAGATAGTCCTTAAACAATTCAGATAGTTCTTAAAAAATTTTAAACAAAAATATTCGTCCACGGCAGCCCCTTACAAAATTATCCAAAGAAGTATAATAGTTCGGTAGGGCCGAACCATGAGTAACCTCCACAATTTGGAAATAATAAAAAAAACGTTTCGAAAATTCGTCTAAAAGCATAAAAACATCGAATACAGGGAGTTGTCGTTACATTGGGATCCAAAAGATAACGTGGACCTGTATATGTAATTTTTGTCATAGGTCATTGAATTATTCAAATATAATTCCAGAGAATAATGTCGCCAAAATCATTAAAATACCAAATATTGGGAGGTACTATTATATGGGGGCTGCACGAACATTTTCTTTTATAGTAGTATCCCTTAAAAATTTCATAATGTCGCTAAAAAATAACTATGAAAATAACGTATATAGGGAGGTGTCATTGGGACGGACTATGCCAAAGCGTGGACTTGTATAGCCAAAAGTTATGCAGACCTAATAAATAATGGAGTAACATTTTATCAACCTACTTCATTTCGTACGAAAATTAGAATGATTTACACAGAGGCACAAACGGACGTCTCTAAATCTACACAGAATTTTATAATTGTGTGATCTAAAATTTATATTTCTAGTGTTACAAATGTAATGACAAACTTAATATAACCTCAATGCTATGTTGGGGGTATAAAAATTCGCCGTTGTGATTTACGGTGAATAAATTTTCTTAAAATCGCACGATTGTAAAAAATATTTATTTTAAATCCACGATTATGGCTTAGATGAAAAAAAATATGTTTTAAAATCCTCGATTACATCGCTATTAGCCCTTTTACAACTACTTATTAAAAATCCTCTATCATAATTTATGTAGCTATTGAAATGTTTTAAAAAATCTATGATTATAAATCAGATGGTCATTTTATATATCCACGTCTAAGATAATTTTAATATAATTATCCTGAATAAAACATATAT